ACCCCCACGAGTCAGGATTTCCCAAGCAAAGTAGCAGTGCAAAATGAATTGGCACATACCAGTCCAAAATCCTGTCCATTGAAGCCAAGGGGTAAAAAGAGAGGATAATAAATTTAAATTATTTAAACACAATTGTGACTAATATTTACATACTGATGTGCAGCTGAGTGCACTTTATAAAATATATTATGGATTAATGCAATATCTTTGATAAGGACTTAATATGAAGGTAGGGTGTACTCATGTTCCTTCTCAAACACAATCTCTTAAGAATTATTTGAAAAGACTGCATAATGTAATGTTTTCTGTGTATGGAAATTAGAGCAATAATCTTTCATCTTTTTTGAAAATAACTTCAGAAAACTCAAGGCAAGGCACTGCAGTCTGAATCAGAATTTTGCAGTCTTTTTGTGAATAAATTTTGTAAATATGATCTTTAAGATAATGTATTATATATATGACTTTTGTAGGTCACTAACTCATTTTTGCAGAGTTTGTGAAGCTAAATATTTAACAAAAATTGATTTCTGTAAACTCAGTGTAGTTGAGGTCCAAATAGAATTTTTTTTTTTTTTTTTTTTCCAGTTAAATTTAATGACTTTGAAGCTGGGTGACTTTGGCCCACATCCTTCTCTTCTTTGGTCTTCAACACTTCATTTATTTTTACATCTTTAACATATAGCTTTTTATAAAAGACCAGTTGTTAAATGCTTTCTCCACCTGTGAGCACTTTGTTACCTTTCTTTCTTTTTACATAAGGCAATTTGACAAAAAGGCTCTGCATTGTAAGGTGTTATGACTTGTCATGATGATCATGTCTTTCTACAATACGTTGCCTTTCAGTTGCTAAATCTGGATTGTGTCTTTTTTTGGTCAATTTTCATGAACTCTAAATGTTCTTCAAAAAAGTTTGTCTGTTGCAAAATATTTGTTGTTACATGACATCCAGAAACCTTTAAGGATATTAAGCCACACTTTAACCAAATGTCTGCACCTCCTTGGATTGTTCTAATAGCAATGAATGTATTTTCTAAGCAGGTTTCTCTCATATCAGTATTTAAGTCTGGTTACAAATTTATTCATATTATTCACTGATAGGTTCCCCTTCCCTCTATTTTGGTTCCCTGAAATGAAGATCCCTTTGCAGTTTTTCCAGTTTCAGGCAGTTATGATGAGTCGAACCTCTAAACTTCTCTACAGGACGACACAGAAATGTTTAAGATGTATGGTGCTTTTGTTCTGTTGTTCACTGTGTAATGGAAAACTGACTTCTCCCAAGTGAGTAAAAAACAAATATCTGTGTTCTTGATTGCTTCTTCTTGGTACTGTAAGCAAGAGGTGGTTTTATTGTTCAGAATAGTCAGTGATCTTCCATTTTAATAGAAATAATTTTAACTAGAAATATTCTCAAAACACTCATCCTCAGCATACAGCCAGTTGTGTTCCAAAGGGAATGTAGATTCAATCGATCTGCTTTATGCAACCCTGTCTCTGCAATTAGTACTGACTATATAGATTAGGTGGTAGTATTTATTTGAAACTTTCAGACCAATTCATGTGTGTTTTTTAATGCAAAACTTTTAAAAGCCTAAGGAACTTTAATCTTTTTTTATTTCCTAGGACATATCTATTTGTTAAGTGCTGCCTACTGACGTTGAAAGGCAACAATCCCTTGCTTTTTATATCAAATCCAAGTAGAACAATCTTTATATTTTGTAGTTGTTCATTATATTGATGGAAACTACAAACCCTGATTGCTTTCATTAGGTGAGCTATTAGACTATATATTACTTTATACATCGTTCCCTTTTAATTTTTTTTTAATGAGTGATTCTATTTATACATCTGTGTATAACAGGTACCTGACTGATGTTGTAAAGGATCATCCTTTTTCCCATGTTTAGAATGTTGGAGCTTTCCAGTACCTACTTTTTTGCTGAATCCAAAGATTTTTTAGTTTAAATTTGATTAAGGGGGGAGGGGGGGCATTTTTAAAAGGCATTGATGACATCTTACTTGGCAGCACTGATCCTAAATACTCCATCTAGTTTGAAGATCTTACCTACTGCAGGAAATAAAACTGACCTTGAAATCTGTTGACTTTAATATCTCGACCAGTTCTGTTTTGGTTCTAGAGCAGCAGATTTTTCTGAATGTTTTAAAAAAACAACCTGTGTAACACTTTTCAACAGGATGAGAACCATTAGCTAGTACAGCCACCTCTGATCCCTGCTGCGTAATGAGCATTGTTTTGCTACATGTCTTTGTTACTCTCTTGATCACAGAAACCATGTTTTTATGAAATTCATATGTAGTATTTTTTTTTTTTCCAATCTTGGCCTAAAATACTGCTTTTAAAGTTAGAAAATCAGGACCATTTTCAGTCATAAGACAAAACTATTTGAATGTTGTACCAATTAGCACACATTTTATTTCAGAATTTATGTGCAGACTACCAGATGACAGAATGATACAGCGAGTGTGAAACCATGTAATTGTGAGAGCAATATTTTAAAAAATTCTCAGGAGAAGGCATACAGTATTGAGAATTGCATTTAAGTTTAGTTTACATTAAGTATTGCTTGAAATATCTGTATCTATGTTGCAAAACAGAAAAATCATGGGGACTGATTTATAAAAGAGTTGGTTGTAAGGTATTACTGCTCTTCTGATTTTTGTGTTTGGATGTTAATAATAATGTAAATAAAGGTTTCTATTTAAAATCAGAACTTGGCGACACGGTGTAGTAGCTGTCTAATACTTTAAGGCTGATAACTGTGTCTTGGAAAGGTCACAGGAAATCTGGTGCTATTACTGAGGAAAGCTATGTATAGTAAATGTTTTACATTTTTTTTCCTAGTTGGCCATAAAAGCTAAGGGAGTAACAACTTAGACCTTCCACCTGTGAGGCCCATTTAGCAACTAAAGTTGGAATTTATGTCTTTTTCAACTTAAACAGCAGTCTTTAGCAGAGCTGAAAGGAGAAGAGGCGGTAGCTTTCCCCATAACTTTGCAACAACCTACCTTTCATAAAATAACTGCTGCTGCTTGTGTCATACCGAATCCCACAGCTCAGGGTTTGGTCTAAAGGGACATGGTAACTTTTGAAGCCTCTGGCTGATACGCAACAGGCACGGTAACGCTGGCCATGCCGGGTCGTGATAGTCCCACCCTCATCAAAGATTATAGGCTGAACACAAAAAAAAGGTAAGTGCAAATTTTTTTTTTAATCTAACTTAGTATTCTTTCTGTGTACTTACTGGGAATGGTAGACAGCTAACACTTTTCTCTGGAAAGCAGCAAAAATGTGTTTCTATTGGTGAGTTTAAATTCAGTATTTTTACTTATTTCTATTGATCCAGGATCTCATTAGCTAGCAGATGTTTCTTTAACAGTCCATGAACTCTGTAACAGATTATAAACAAAATCTATGGCTAGATTGACAGACAATCACATATTACTTCCATAATTAAAAGTGCAAGAAAATTTTGGGAAGTGTATTTGACTTACTCCTGTGTGATATAAATACAGGCTCAAGCCTAGTTTTACTACAGAGCATGTACAATGAAAGACCCCGCTGCCACTTTGAGAGGGCTTATTTCTCAGTTTCTAAATTCAAGTATATTTTTTGAGTATGAGGGTGTGGTACCAGAGATCTCTACCCCTCGTGAAGTAATTTCACTTGAATTTCCTAATGTGCAAAACCAGAAAGGTAATCAAAATAATTCCCAAGGTGTATTTTTACACTGTGTTTCTAGAAGTGTGAGTTAAGTTTGTATTTTGGGGGAAAAAAAAAAAAAAAAAAAAAAAAAAAAAGGTACCTCTTTGTTAAGAGTGAAGGCCACAGTTGGTCGAGTCTGTCACATGAGCTCCCTCCTGCATGTGCCTTTAAACCAGGTAGCAGATTAACATGAAAAAACCTATAAATACAAAGATCGCCGCTAGTGCCTGTACTACATTGTATTTAATAACGTCTTTATGAAAATACTCAAATCGACACTGTACACTGTGCTTCCTTAGTAAAATGATGGGGTTTTTCCCTTTAAAAGCCTTTAAACAGTAACTGTCATCCAGAACATCTACTTTTTTGTAGACTGCACTTATAACTAGAATATTCTTTATTGGCTACAAGTATTGAACTTCTTGGAGCTGCCTTTTTTTTAAAATAAATGTAAAAGTTACACTACTAAGCAAATGCTGCTTTCTCAAAGGAATTGTTTTGGTTTTCAACATACAATATAATATTACCACATAAAAAAACTTCATACAAATCTGATTTCATTAAAATTTAAGATGTACATTTACTGAAATTTTTCAGTACTTTTAAAAAATGGATAAATTCTGAAATGTACTATGCAACATTAAGTAACATTTTGAGAAATGGTATGTGGGCATTCCACTCTTTTTATTAACAAAATTCTTCACAACCTGAAAGAATTTATTTTCAAACAGTATATTGATCAGTATTTACACAACTCCTCCAGGAATCTGGCATCCTGTTAGTCAGGGTTTTCTCTAATTTTCCTAGAGGTGTCAACAGGATGGACAAGTAGACATGGAACTAAAACATATCCTCAGAGGAAATTTGAGAAATATCATGGTGTTGAGAATATTCAATGCTGCTCACTTCATTTCCTGAAACTCTTAAAAGTTCTTTTCCACCATTACCTTTACTCCAGTTAGAAGCAAAAGTGTCCATGATTTCTAAATCTTGCTTTAGAGTTACACTTGGCTTTGAAGTTTCTCTCATGACGTCTGAAGATACAGTTGAAGTGAAAAGTGTTTTACGTTTACTTTTGCTGTCTTTGTGGACACTTTGCCCCCTGGGATCGCAATCCTCTTTGGGATGCAGCTGTTTTGTCTTCTGTCAATTCCTGGATCCGTGTTAGTAGTGTCATCTTGAAGTAAAACGCGTTGTGAAGCAGGTGAGGTATAATCCAAAGCAAAAAGCAGGTACAATAGTGGATTTCAGAGACCTGTATTTCTGGCAGCATTTCCCATAATTTCACTGCATCTATTTAATCCACTCACCAGTGCAAACATTCTATCTATTTCAGCCTCAAAGTTTATCCAGTCCTCCAGGCTAACATTAGAATTCTTTCTGAAGTCATACATGTTCTCATTTAGTCTGTACATGGATTCAAGTTCTGGCCAGTTTGTGTCCTCATGGAGGTGCAGCGGTTGGGGGAGGTTAGCCTTCCCATCCTTCCCACAGTTGTCCTCTTTAAAATAAAATAAGCATGATTTAGTGTATAACATTACAGTAGGAAGTTGTTAGAAATATATTTTTAATCATAGAATCGTTTAGGTTGGAAAAAGACCTTTAAGATCCTCTAGTCCAACTGTTACCCTAGCACTGCCAAGTCCACCATAACCATGTCCCTAAGTAAGTGCCACATCTACACATCTTTCAAATACCACCAGGGATGGTGACTCCACCACTTCCCTGGGCAGCCTGTTCCTGTGCTGGACAACCCTTTTGGTGAAGAATTTTTCCCTATTATCCAATCTAATACTTCCATGCAGGAAAAAACAACTGAAACACTGTGGACCACCTATAAAAATATAGTAGGTATATCACAGAAACAATCCAACTATGTTTGAAATGTCAACCTGTTCAAAACTTGTATCTCATGAATTCTAGCTTCATTTTGGTTCTAGGTAGCTGCTACAAGTTTAAATTTAGACAAAACCAACATAATGGTCTCTAATTTTTAAAGGCAGTTAACCATAATTGGTTTCTTCTGAACATCCACCTTTGCTCAAGTTTGAAATTGCCTTGACCTTAATGCTCCCTGACTCCCAGAAAACATATACCAAGAGGTTTTGTACAGCAGTAGTTCCCCGCAATCATGGCAGTATCATGTTTCCTGCATAATTTAGAGGACTTCCCGCTTAAGCATTCCATGAGAGGAGATGATGATGATGTTAAAAAAGGTGCTGCATGCAAAAAGAGAAGTGAAGGAAAGAAAGGTAAGTAAAAGCTTAGTGCTTTTTGTGAACTGCTCCCAACTCACAGTGACTTGGCAGATGATGGTCTCTTCACATCTGGCCACTTTCGACGCTGAAACTGCCTAATTTTCAAGCAGCAAAAGGAGAAAAAAGTTATCCATCACCACTAAGAAAACCACCAGCACTACCATCTGAAAGATGAGGAAGGAGAAGAGTCTAGCCTAAATTTTGACTACAAAGATTAGAACATGCTGTAACATTGAAACAGAAATAGCTCTAGTGTTTCACAGTAACTGGAAGAGAAAGATCTTGCAAACATTTTTCCAGGCAGCATCTGTCCAGGTGGTTCCCAATCCCACACTCCTAACTCCATTAGCGTCAAGGTAGTACTTAGGAATAATAATTTAACTTCTTAAAAAAAGTACCTGTACTGCTCGTAGCTTCCATCTTTAAGTCCTAGATGAGGAAAAATTAACAACGTTACTAACCATTGTCTGCAACAGAATAAGGTACCAGGTAAAGCACAAATTTTAAAAAAGACCTAAGAATATTAACAGATTAATGTGTAGTGCCATGATAAATGTTTCTATACATGCTAACTAGAGCTGGTTTTTTTCATATTTAAACCCTTATTCTAGGTAAAATAGGTTGTAAATTGGGATAGAACCTTTGAAAGTTTTCTGTAAATGTCCTTCAGTGGTGTACTTAAATGCCAAAACCTGTTGATTTCAAAATGACCAGCTCTATGTGGTGCATGTACTAAATAAGACCCAAAATAGTATTTTGGGCTTGGTGGACTCAAGTAAGATAGCAGTATTTTGGGGGTGGAGGGGGTCTTCAAGTTCTAAAGGCTACGATTTTTTAAAAATAGCATTTCTTACATCAAGTTGATTGTACTAAGGGGTATAAGAAATGCAATTTATAAAGAAGAAATATAAGTAACTGTACCTTTTGGTTTGCTATCATCATTCAATATTGAAAAAATAAAATAAAATCCTAGGCAGTATAAAAACCAGATCCCTTGAGTGACTGAGTAGACCCACAGAAAATTTAAGGGGTAGAAAAGGATGAAACTAGCCTAGAACAAGAGTAAAGGCCCATTTTGCTTTTTGGAATTCAAATCTACGGTCAACAAGAGCACATCCTTTGGTAGCATAATGCAATCCTTTGTACATGTGCTGCTATTTCACACCTACCTTGCAGTAACACAGGTTACGGAAAACTGATCAGCTTAAGCACTAGCGTCCTTTCTGAAGTTCAAGTTATTTTTTAAGCAGTTTACCACAAGGCTGCATGGACTGCACTGTCTCTAAAAGAAGTGCTTTTAAATTTGTGCCTACAGCTGGAATGCTGAAACTCAGCTGCCCAAACTGGTTGCCCAGAGGGGTTGTGCAGTCTCCATCCTTGGAGGTTTTCAAGATGCGATCAGCTAGAGTTCTGAGTAACCTGGTCTGACCTGAGAGCTGACCCTGCACTGAGCAGAGGTTTGGACCAGATGAACTCCAGATGTCCCTTCTGACTTGAATTGCCCTGTGAGTCTATAAGCTTGGAAGTGGCTGTTCGGGTTTTCTTCCCCTCTTTCGTGACTTTTGTTCCTTTCCCTGCATCTCAGCAATACTCCTCACTAGACTACTGCTCACTCCTCATTTAAGAAACATTACACAACACAAATTGAACAAATACAGAATTTGAACATACAGCCATTAGCCTCAGCAGGACAGTGCTAGTGTAAATAAATACTAAAATCCTTCTGACTGATACAAGTTTCACAATGGTAAGTGAGTCCCATTTCCTTTGGGGAATTTTCAAGTGTGGTAAGAAAGGCACTTACCCAGATCCATGTTCCTAGTTCTTGGATTGCATTGTTTATACCCTTTGCAGCTTCTTAATTCCATGAGCTGGACATGCAGTTGATTGAGAACGTCTCTATCTAGTGTATTCACTGCATTAATTAGCTGCAATAAACAGGGATTCTTGTTAGTAACTATTGCTCTCTAGTTCGGTAACTTTCATATATGGAATACACGTGGTTTAGACCTAACAGGAAAAAAGCCAAATCATACTGCGTTCAATGATTTAGGCCTTATCTACATCCTGCACCAATACCACGCTATTTCAATTTATCATCGATAAGGAACAATGATGTATTTCTAGAGCCGTTCTATGATCAAATACCTGATATGGATCAGTATTGAGATCAAAATACTCCAGAAATCCAGTAGCAAATTCACAAAACAGGAAGTTGTGGGTCTCGTTGATTGTCCTCAAACACCAGTATGTGTTGTTGTTGGCACTGGTGCAGGCACAGAATGGGCCTACTGCAAATAGAAGAGTTATAAAGACATAAGCTACATGCTGCTGTCTTTGACACTGTTCATCACTCTTTGTTTACGGTATTACTTTATTCACAGGCAGTTTCTCTCTCTCTCTCTCTCACTCCTGAGCTCTAAAGCAGATAATGCCTTCCAGCATCAGCTTCTTGCCCTCCTGCCATGGCAAGATCTCGGCTAGCTGCTTTCCCTGTCTTCTCTGGTCGGGAACCATTCCGCATGGTGAGATACTACCCATAACTGTACTGTACAATATCCCTAGGGGTTTTTTTTGCAGTTGTTTTTGTTTTTAACTCCCTTGCCTTTTGTGCAAAGATAATGGCAACACTGAAACAGAGATTATTTAGTATGAGAAGGCTGCATGGCTTTGGCTACATCACTAATGACATCGATAACTTCCTGTAACCCAGCATCCTAGCCCAGCCTTGCCAGTACCCGCCTACCTCTGATTTAGTTTAAAGTCTCCTTACGTGTCCACAGGGGAGCAGTTTGCCAGTGTTGGTTGTCATGGGTGAAGCAGGTCAGACCAGGCATGCTGCATGTGTCGTTATTTTTTATTCTCTTCAGCAGTTTGCGCAGTTTCTTCTTTCGTCTTTGCTCTCTAAGCAGCCACAGCCTGTCTTTCTCCTGTAGGGCTTTCCTGCACACATGAAACATTAGGGTCATGCAGACTGTTATACTTGAACACATTTAAAAAAAAAAAAAAATGAAATGGCTAATACAATAAGCTGCTTTGAGGGAAAGGAAGAACTGGTATTTTTTAATTAAATGGCTTCTCTTCCAAATGGCTCTGGATATGACTCTGCAATTCAATGGCACTGGAGAGACAAAAAAAAAATAAAACAGCCAGCCTCCAAAGGGGCTTAGGCTTGCCTGGAGTCTGTGATGTGACATCTCCCAAACCAGGAACCTTATCTCAGACTTTACAAGCATTTCAACAGGGGCTTAGTTCCTTGCCCAGGTGTCTGTGTGTCTATTCTTTCCAATACAAGATAAATGAAATATTGTACATTTTTTGCTTTGTTCATAACTGGTGTGCATGGACCAAATGTTAATGTCTTTGCATTTCCTCTTTCAAAGGCACAGGCCTTCACTTACTTGAAAGGATGAAGACCAGATCCCTTGTGCCTCAGTTTGCTTTTGTGTTTTGAATGGTAACTGGAAAATAAAACCAGCATTGTTAATGAACCACAGAAAGACAATCATCACTCCTATTCATACCACACTATCGTACAGGATTTGAAGCAGATTTAAGTCAGTGTCACTTCTTCCTTTAATTTATTCATGTGAATAAATTGAATACAAAGCAGCTTTGCTAGACTGGGTCAGGCACTCCTGAGCCTTGTGGTGCCTCATTCTTTCCTCAGAGCATTCATGCACAGTGACCTCTGGTGCCCTACGGCTGCACTGCAATACGTAGCTACAGTCTTCAATTTTAGTTGTCATTGGTTCTTGTTTCCC